GCAATCCTTGATTGTATCATGAAAAAACAATTTGTCCAAAGTTGAAATCTCCCATTAACACATTTTCGTTTCTAAGTGCCTTATGAATTTCGTCCCAAAGAAGTTTCCTGCATTCTCTTTCAAGGTTTGAGGACCTGGAAATCACACCCAAGATTAATTTTTCACGACCCATAAGAAACTAGCCAGATTCAGTGTCCGAGATTTCTAATTTTATATCATGTCTAACGTAATAGTTTAAATTATTTCTGGCATACTTTGCCATTCCACCAACGTTTCCTGTTTACCCTATCAGTGTGGAATAATTTATTGCCTTGTATGTGGCATTCAGAAGGCATTTATCGTTGAGGTTGAACCATGTGTATAGCAAAAATATGTATGCTTCCTGCACATGCAACTAATCTTAGCTCATCTATCTTATTTCTAACATTTCTGTTAATATAGTAAACCTTAAGTGAGCTACTCACTCGCCGCCCTCTGCTGTCAGTTTGTATGTTGACCACTTCCATTGCGTTTATTAGTAACTTTATGATGAATGTCTTTTAAACATCTCTCTGAGGTATCCTGGTAATAACTGCTGTTTTTATCCCTCATGACACAACCTCTTTGTTTCGCTCACACACCCATGCCTCTATCTTTTATCAGTTTAAAGTCCTAGACAACTCGGCAACGACACCCTCGATCGAGGTGGCTAATGTTACCACTCTTGTCCCAGATATGTACCCCATCCCTTGCATATACATCATGTTTGCAATAGAACTTGTCCCAGTTGTCATTGAATGAGATTACATGGTAATTAGCCAGTCCTTGGTGAATTTAGGTAAAGTGTAGGAAAGCAGCAGAGCGCGGTGTTCTCTCGTGGAGAGAACACCAGTCCATAGAAACTTACATTCAAGTGTAATTTGTGCTGCTTTCTGGAGAGTCTTTGAAGTTTTTTGTGCGTGTCTGACCAGTCTTGGTAACATTTCCTGAGTAGGAAAATTTCCCAGAAGCATAATCATAAATTGTCCTATTCTGTGAACTTTTATTATTTTCGGAAAATAGGATGAGAAATTTAAGTGTTAGTTTTTTTGTGATTCCAAGTTTGCATTTCACAGGTCTGTTATCAGTTTAGCTTAAGTGCAGGGAAGGACGTTTAGCTCTTTCCTTTGGAAAGAAATGAATCACCAGGTGTGCAGGGAGTCTGTCTCTTATAGGGGACCATCTTGGTGCTCTGCTGCTATGCTGTCATCTTAATTTTATTCCACTGGGTATTCTTTCTAATACGTTCTTGCATATGCATTATATATGTATTTCTCTATACTTAGATATATATTCTTATATACTTTCTACGTTTTCTAATAAATTCTTCTATACCGATTTTTTAGATAAAATTTTCTGTTCATGACTCACGAAATCGTAATGACACGATTGCAAACAAACCATACCACGGGTGGGAATAGAACCCGCGATCAGAGAGTCTCAAAACTTCAGACCGTCGCGTTAGCCACTGGACCAGCTAGCCATAATAAGATTCGTCCAACTAGGTATATTTCTACACCATAGGAAGGTTAGCATAGGCACCACTGTGTCCACAAATGCAAGTTTTTACAGACGAATCTCCAGCTTTGAAGGGACTTGAGCTAGAGTTCGTCACGGCCACGCTAGCTGGAGATTCGTCTGTAAAAACTTGCATTTGTGGTCACAGTGGTGCCTGTGCTAACCTTCCTATGGTGTAGAAATATACCTAGTTGGACGAATCTTATTGTGGCTAGCTGGTCTAGTGGCTAACTCGACGGTCTGGAGTTTTGAGACTCTCTGATCGCGGGTTCTCTCCCCGCCCGTGGTATGTTTTTTTTTTCTTGTTCATTCTTGCTGATGTATTCTTTTCTGTACATTCTTCCATATTCTTATTTATACCTTCGTTTACATTCATATCAAAACATTCGTTACATAAATGCTTATCTGTGTTATCTGGCTCTCACATTTCCGTCTATATGTGCCTTATCTACATTTTTTTTCAACAAGCCGGTCGTCTCCCACCGAGGCAGGGTGACCCAAAAAAGAAAGAAAATCCCCAAAAAGGAAATACTTTCATCACTCAACACTTTCACCTCACACATAATCACTGTTTTTGCAGAGGTGCTCAGAATACAACAGTTTAGAAGCATATACATATAAAGATACACAAACATATCAATCCAAACTGCCGATATCCCAAACCCCTAATTAATTTTCTTGTGTATAATTTTATGGATTGTGATCAACGCATTTGCATCAATGCAATCTTTTCCAACTACTCTTAACTTCGAATATTCCCTTTTATCCAGTTTCATATATTCTGCAGTATATTCTAAAAATTGTTATTCTAAATTCTAGCCAAACTTGTTTCGTCTTAACGTATTTTTTTCACAACTATAGCAGATTAATTTTTTTTTCATTTTACTTACATGTTCAGGTAAATATTCCGTCTAGATTTTGGCTGTCCACTTATTACACATGTGACTTTGACTACGCTCATTCTGTGTTCAATTAGATATATTTTCTGTGACGGATACTGTGATACTCGCTAGTATTTAATTCAGCATAAATCACTCTGGTTTTGTTAATAGGTAGTGATATATTGTTTTTCTGAAGGTACATACAACTGGTCCTCGCTCGACTAGACACAGTCCTGGTCTGGACATATTTCCTATATCGCCGTTGGACTTTTAATTAAATAATATAAGGAGTGTAACTCCTCCGATGCATGGATAACATCAAGGCTGCTCAAGTGAGCTTGAAGATATGCCTGGCTTCTTCCTGTATATCCATGAAAGATGCAGTAGCTTTTTACGACAATAACCAGTCATTGAATATAATCTTGCGATTTCGCGATGCGAAGACAGCAAAAAAATGTTAGCATGATACGATAAAATTATAGGGGGCGAGAGATTGCGTGAGAAGTGAGGTAGGGAGTGGACCGAGGAAGTATTTCAGAGTATTTCTGTCCAGTACCTTCATTGATGTGTTGTCTCGTCAGCTGTGGCCTGATGACACAGCCTAGTATATATTTGTTTATTTCGTCTACCTTCTTTATTACTTATGCCTACTCCCGTGTGCCTACTCCCGTCTAACATTGCTTTCACATAATTTTCTAGACTTTTTTAACATTTCTATGTATAATCTACTAATGTATTTATTTCCTGGCAGTTTAAATTAGACCTTCATTTTTTAGTTATTACTTTCATATCGTGTCTGTTGCATTTTCTCAATGTTATATTCATATTAGTCTTCAGAATGACCTGAAAAAGGCCTTTTTTTCCAATTCTTGAATGTACTGATTTGACATTTTGGATCAGGGGAGATTTAGTGAACCTTAATTTCCATTGTAGTCAATTCTCGTTGGGATAGCAGCGACAAGCTTAGGGAGACGTCAACAAGCTTAGTGAGACATCAACAAGATTGCTTTTAGCTTAAGCTTGGTGAAACACTCCAGCTAGGGGGCTCAGACCATCGTTGATTCTACCCGAGTTACACAATGTTAGAGTATATTATTCCTTAAGGATTCTAAGTTGTGTAAGTTCCTCAGGAGAACCACATATATCTCTGATCGGTATGTTCTAACAGAACATCGCCAATATAATTAAGGTATCCAACAAGTTCCAGTGTTTACTCTGATAAGATCATTCGAATAAGGAAATATTTTACGTAATATTCCGTTTGAGGGATAGTTTGTTTATATCGGGACTATAGCAGTCCATGATCACTTGATATATATCGGGACTATAGCAGTCCATGATCACTTGGTATATATTGGGACTATAGCAGTCCATGATCACTTGATATATATTGGGCCTATAGCAGTCCATGATCACTTGATACATATTGGGACTATAGCAGTCCATGATCACTTGATATATATTGGGACTATAGCAGTCCATGATCACTTGATTTATATTGGGACTATAGCAGTCCATGTTCACTTGATTTATACTGGGACTATAGCAGTCCATGATCACTTGATATATATTGGGACTATAGCAGTCCATGATCACTTGATTTATATCGGGACTATAGCAGTCCATGATCACTTGATTTATACTGGGACTATAGCAGTCCATGATCACTTGATTTATACTGGGACTATAGCAGTCCATGGTTACTTGATTTATACTGGGACTATAGCAGTCCATGATCACTTGACTTATACTGGGATTATAGCAGTCCATGATCACTTGATTTATATCGGGACAATAGCAGTCCATGATCACTTGCTTTATATCGGGACTATAGCAGTCCATGATCACTTGATTTATATCGGGACTATAGCAGTCCATGGTTACTTGATTTATATCGGGACTATAGCAGTCCATGATCACTTGATTTATATTGGGACTATAGCAGTCCATGATCACTTGATTTATATCGGGACTATAGCAGTCCATGATCACTTGATTTATATCGGGACTGTAGCAGTCCATGATCACTTGATTTATATCGGGACTATAGCAGTCCATGGTTACTTGATTTATATCGGGACTATAGCAGTCCATGGTTACTTGATTTATATCGGGACTATAGCAGTCCATGATCACTTGATTTATATCGGGACTATAGCAGTCCATGATCACTTGATTTATATCGGGACTATAGCAGTCCATGATCACTTGATTTATATCGGGACTATAGCAGTCCATGATCACTTGATTTATATCGGGACTATAGCAGTCCATGATCACTTGATTTATATCGGGACTATAGCAGTCCATGATCACTTGATTTATATCGGGACTATAGCAGTCCATGATCACTTGATTTATATCGGGACTATAGCAGTCCATGATCACTTGATTTATATCGGGACTATAGCAGTCCATGATTACTTGATTTATATCGGGACTATAGCAGTCCATGATCACTTGATTTATATCGGGACTATAGCAGTCCATGATCACTTGATTTATATCGGGACTATAGCAGTCCATGATCACTTGATTTATATCGGGATATAGCAGTCCATGATCACTTGATTTATATCGGGACTATAAGCAGTCCATGATCACTTGATTTATATCGGGACTATAGCAGTCCATGATCACTTGATTTATATCGGGACTATAGCAGTCCATGATCACTTGATTTATATCGGGACTATAGCAGTCCATGATTACTTTATTTATATCGGGACTATAGCAGTCCATGATCACTTGATTTATATCGGGACTATAGCAGTCCATGATCACTTGATTTATATCGGGACTATAGCAGTCCATGATCACTTGATTTATATTGGGACTATAGCAGTCCATGATCACTTGATTTATATTCTTATGTATGTTTTTACTGTAACAAGTATATTTCCTTTGTATTGTATGCTGTGGTTTCATTAAGAGATGAAGGTTCTTCTACTGGTGTAGGTGCAAGCAGGTTTTGGATATTTCTGGTGTAGGCGCATGTATTCTTACGATGATGTGTTTTCCTTTTTCTTTATTACTGCAAGATATATTTTGTGTTTTTTAATGGTTTTGCCAGTCATTGAAATCAGTTTTATAATGTTCGACTTTGACTTCTCTGTATTGAGTTTACCAAGGAACAGAAATGCTGCTTTGTAGATCATTCCTCTGTGGAATTTTTCCACTAGTGAACAGTTGGGTACCTAATGCTTTTAGCTAAAACCTCCCATCCTAGAGCGCCAGTACCCATCAGTTTCTTAAATCCTCAATAATAAATGCACTATCCTTCTAATTTTAACCACTGATTGTCAATTCCTCGCAGTATTTTGTATGTTAACATGTCTCCCCTGACCCTCCTGTCCTCCAGTGTTCGTTAGTTACCACTTTGTCCTAGGCACATGTCGATTAGACACTAGGCCTGTTGTATATCACTGCATGTACTCACCTAGTTGAGGTTGCGGGGGTCGAGTCCGAGCTGTGTGTGTGTGTGTGTGTGTGTGTGTGTTTTACCATTTTGTCCTAGGCACCTGTGTGTGTGTGTGTGTGTGTGTGTACTCACCTATTTGTGGTTGCAGGGGTCGAGTCCTAGCTCCTGGCCCCGCCTCTTCACCGGTTGCTACTAGGCCCTCTCTCTCCCCGCTCCATGAGCTTTATCAAACCTCGTCTTAAAACTGTGTATGGTTCCTGCCTCCACTACGTCATTTTCTAGGCTATTCCACTGCCTTACAACTCTATGACTGAAGAAATACTTCCTACTATCTCTCTGACTCATTTGTGTCTTCAACTTCCAATTGTGGCCTCTTGTTTCTGTGTCCCCTCCCTGGAACATCCTGTCTTTGTCCACCTTATCTATTCCACGCAATATTTTATATGTCGTTATCATGTCTCCCCTGACCCTCCTGTCCTCCAGTGTCGTCAGGCCGATTTCCCTTAATCTTTCTTCATAGGACATTCCCCTTAGCTCTGGAACTAACCTTGTCGCAAACCTTTGTACTTTCTCTAGTTTCTTGACGTGCTTTATCAAGTGCGGGTTCCAAACAGGTGCTGCATACTCCAGTATGGGCCTGACATACACGGTGTACAGTGTCTTGAATGATTCCTTACTAAGGTATCGGAATGCTGTTCTCAGGTTTGCCAGGCGCCCATATGCTGCAGCAGTTATCTGATTGATGTGTGCTTCCGGAGACATGCTCGGTGTTATACTCACCCCAAGATCTTTCTCCTTGAGTGAGGTTTGCAGTCTTTGGCCACCTAGCCTATACTCTGTCTGTGGTCTTCTGTGCCCTTCCCCTATCTTCATGACTTTGCATTTGGCAGGATTAAATTCGAGAAGCCATATGCTGGACCAGGTGTCCAGTCTGTCCAGGTCTCTTTGAAGTCCTGCCTGGTCCTCATCAGATTTAATTCTCCTCATTAACTTCACATCATCTGCAAACAGGGAAACTTCTGAGTCTAACCCTTCCGTCATGTCGTTCACATATACCAAAAATAGCACTGGTCCTAGGACCGACCCCTGTGGGACCCCGCTCGTCACAGGTGCCCACTGTGATACATCATTACGTACCATGACTCGTTGTTGCCTCCCTGTCAGGTATTCTCTGATCCATTGCAGTGCCCTTCCTGTTATATGCGCCTGATGCTCTAGCTTCTGCACTAATCTCTTGTGAGGAACTGTGTCAAAGGCCTTCTTGCAGTCCAAGAAGATGCAATCAACCCACCCCTCTCTCTCTTGTCTTACTTCTGTTATTTTATCATAAAACTCCAGAAGGTTTGTGACACAGGATTTGCCTTCCATGAATCCGTGCTGGTTGGCATTTATACTCCTGTTCCGTTCCAGGTGCTCCACCACTCTCCTCCTGATAATCTTCTCCATAATTTTGCATACTATACACGTCAATGACACAGGTCTATAGTTTAGTGCCTCTTTTCTGTCTCCTTTTTTAAAAATGGGAACTACATTTGCCGTCTTCCATACCTCAGGTAGTTGCCCAGTTTCCAGGGATGTGTTGAAGATTGGGGTAAGTGGCATGCACAACATATCTGCTCCCTCTCTAAGGACCCACGGGGAGATGTTGTCCGGTCCCATTGCCTTTGAGGTATCGATGTCCCTTAGCAGTTTCTTCACCTCCTCCTGTGTGTGTGTGTGTGTGTGTGTGTGTGTTATGCAAGCTAATGCCCTATTGTGATAAATTTATATACAATTTTATAATATAAAACAAGTTTTTTACAACGTGAAAAACTCCACAAATATATAGCTCATCTCGGCGTTTTGTGGACGCTTTTCATGAATGACGTCACGACGTCACCAGAGGTAGAGAGCAATGGTAAGATAGCTGCGCTGTGATTAGGTTAGGTAAGATTTGTCAGGAAACAGGACAAGTGTTTTCTGACGCAAGTCTTAAGTCATACAATGACCCGCCACCGGAGATGTGTGAATTAAGTACCGGTATGTGTGGCATTTTGTGATGATGCTCAGGCCGTAAATTATATATAATGTTTAATGTATGCTAACGTAGATCCTAAGTGGTGCCTGACACTGTTGTTAAGGTTGGGTGTGTGTAAAAGTAGGAGAGAACAGAAATAACAGCGTGTTTACGTGTGCACCTGCAGGCTGGGAAAATGCTGGCACTCTAAGTCACTGGTCGTGTTACTTTTCTTACGACCTTACTTTAATTACCTGGTAAGAGTTTACGAGTGCGTAAACTATGGTTTTTGTGATGTGTTGAGGATGGTGAGTGAACTATCGTTTCGTGAAGTATATTGATGACAGAGTAAGGCGGTTTGGGTTATATATATATTATGTACCATATTATGTTAAAAAATATACCTATTGGTATAAAAGAATGAAAAGATGGGGTAGTAAGGGAAGTGGAATATTCAAACGGCTTCAGGAAGAAATCCAAATATTCTTCCGTGAAGCCTTTTTATCCACTTTTCCGAGGCTGTGGGTCCCACAATTTCCACCAGAGGTGGACCCCATCCTATATATATAATTATATAATTACTACGCACAAAATCTTCAGAGGAAAAAGGGCCCTAAAGGAAGAACAAAAAAAAACCAAAATTTTAAGAAGCCCAGGATCAAAAAAGGAATTTGAAAAAATTTAAATTTATAAATATACAGAGGGCCCATAGGGATGTAATGAAGTATTTCTTTATTCTCAGGGGGGTTTTGAAAGGGAGTGACTTTGATGGGGAAACAGTGACGGAAGCAAAATTTAAATATACAGCTTAAAGCCCCAAAGGGTTTAAAACTGAGGGAACACACACCCACACACACACCCCACACACACACACACACACAAAACACCCACACACAAAACACAGTTAAAAATTTAAGTGGATCTAAAGGGGGAAAAAACCATTGGCCTTTAAAATTTAAAATTTAAAAATACACTAGGGCCGACTCCCTCATAAACCACAGGTTTTAAACTGGTGGCCAATCCCTTGATTAATAAATCCTAGGTTTGGCCTCAAGGGTTTTAAATAAATAATCTTTAAAAAAAATAAGCATATATATAAATAAATAAATTTATATATATATATATATATTTTTTATATATATATTTTTAATAAATATATATTTTTTAAAATTTTAATAATACATCATAATTTTTATTTTTTATAAATTTAATATATTTTAAAATATTTAATATAAAAATTATAAATAAAATTATTATTTTAAAATATATATAATATATATAAAATATATTTTATATATAAAAATTATATATATATTTATATACACACATACATTTTATATTTTATATTTAATATATATAATTAAATATAAATAAAAAATTTTTAATTATAAAACATAAAAATTTATATATATATATATATTATATACACATACTATATATATATATATATTAATAATTTATATATGGGAGGGGGTCCCCCCGGGTTTGGAAAATTGGGGGACCCCCCGCCTGGGGAAAAAGTGGAAAAAAAGGGCTTCACGGAAGAATATTTGGTTTTTCCCCAAAAAGCCTTTTTGAATATTCCACTTCCCTTACTACCCCATCTTTTCATTTTTTTTTATACCAATGGAATTTTTTTTTAACAAAATTTATGGTACTAATAAATATAAAAACCCAAACCGCCTTACTCTTTTTTAACAATATACTTCACGAAACGATAGTTCACCCCACCATCCCTCAACACATCACAAAAACCATAGTTTACGCACTCAAAAACTCTTCCCAGGAAATTAAAGTAAGGTCGAAAGAAAAAAACACGACCAGTGACTTAAAGTGCCGTTTTTTCCCCAAGCCTGCAGGTGCACAGGGAAAACACGTTTGTTATTTTTTTTCCCTCCCTTTACTTTTACACACCCCCAAACCCCTTTAACAACAGTGTAAAGGCCCACTTAGGACCCCTGTTAGCATACTTTAAAAACTTTATATATTAATTTACGGCCTGAGAAATCATCACAAAATCCCAACACAAAACCGGGTTATTAATTCACACTTTCCCCGGGTTTGGGGGTCATTGTATGACTTAAGACTTGGTCAGAAAAAACTTGTCCTTTTTCCGAAAAATCTTACCTAACCAATCACAGCGCAGCTATTTTTACCATTGCTCCTCCCTTTTGGTAAACGCCCGTGACGTCTTTCATAAAAAAGCGTCCAAAAACGCCGAGATGAGCTATATTTTTGTGGAGTTTTTCACGTTTTAAAAAACTTGTTTTTTATTTTAAAAAAATTTTGTTTTAAAAATTTTACACAATGGCATTAGCTTGCTAACCACACACACCACACACACCACACACGGGAGGGGGGAAAGAAATGCTAAGGGCCATCGAAACCTCAAAGGCAATGGGACCGGCCCAAATCTCCCCGTGGGCCCCCCTTAGAGAGGGAGCAGAAATT